CGCTCGGAAGTTAATAGCATTACATAAAAACAATGTTTCATGTTTTAAAGCGTACGAAATCGCGAGTAACAGCTAGTGCAAAAATGAAACGTTCGTATCGCTTGACGGTCACATATTGAGTGGGGCGAAGGCAGGCCGCGCTGTTGCCAGCTTGACGCTGATGATGAAGATTTTGGTACTTTCCATGACAATTGATTGCAAAGGCAACGATGTGTTCTCCAATAAAACCATATAATCTATAAAAAACAACATGGCGTCGGGTACAGATACAGCGACTCTAATCAAGGAACTGAATAAGTTAAAAAAAGATGAAATTATCGAATTGATCGTAAAAAGGAAGTTACCCGTGAATAATAGTAGTGGAGTGTTAACAGAATTTGTATCTGGATTGCTAAAGTGTTCCTCGTGTCAACATAACAACAAAGAAGAGTTATTTGATAGCACTGACTTACTTGGTTGCACTGACTGCGGTAAGTGGCAGTGCAGAAGTTTTATGAAGGAACTTGCATATCATTTAGAAAAGCGTGCTCAGGAACAAGAAGACATAAAATTATTAAAAATGGAAAGTAGGTCTCATATAAACCATGAAATCAAGAGGCTAGAGGAGGTTCGAGATGCGTCATCTCACGACCAAATACATCATTCGCAGATTATGGAATATAACCACGTCCAGAAATCACCAAGAAACATCAACATTAATAACGACGAATCCACAAATGACCGTAAAGATGCCAGTGGAAAACAAGGTACAATGACGAAGTCGTTAAGCAAAGGCATTTGTATGTAAAAAAGACGTCAGTAAAAAAATTAAAAATGAAAAAGTTGCATATCATAATCAACTCATCACTCATTCAAGAAATAAAATTAAAACTACGTGGTCAATAATCAATAAATTTCGTTGCAAATAAATTAGTAGAGACAAAAATATTACTGTAGCTATCGATGGCAGTATGGTATCTGACCTCGATCATGCTTTATTATTCGGAGAGCGTCTTGAATCTGTAATACCAGGTAAACTCACCTCGCATTTCAACGGGCATCTTTCTGAAGCATGTACAGTTCCAAACAGACATGTTCCCAACTCTTTTCACTATGAATTCGTTACAATAGAGGAAATTGAGCAAATTGTAATGGCATTCCCGAATAAGGATTCGTGTGGGTTCGGTCAGATATCTGTTAGATATATTAAGAAACTTATTCCATATATTTCTTCATTTTTAGCTGATTTGAGATTAACATTGCCGTTTGTACCGGCACGTTTTTCGATGGTCTCAAAAAGCCATAATAGTGCCGATATTTAAAAAAAGACGAACAAGACTTTTATAATTATAGACCAGTATCATTACTGAGTATCTTCTCTAAAATTATTGAAAAAATCGTGTATGACCGAATATATAAATTTATCAACAAGTATAAAATTCTAAGTAACAGACAGCATGGATTTCGGCTGCATGGACCTAATTCAATACATATCCGACAAACTCGACAGAGGGGAACTTGTGCTCACTATATCATTTGACTTGACACGTGCGTTTGATACAGTCGACAAAATCTTTGTTAATAATAAAATGGAACATATGGTACTAAGGGGTAGTATTAATTCTTTTATTTTTTCTTACTTATCAGGTCGTAGGTTTGCTGTTAAAGTTGGTGAATCAGTGTCCGATTATTATAATCAAGATATGGGTACCCTACAGGGTAGTGTTCTTGGACCCCTGCTCTTTCTGCTTTTCATAAACGATTTACCAGAGCACATCACTGAAGGCGAAGTATTTGTATATGCGAATGATACTACTGCAGTAGTTTCTGCTGTATCTGAAACAGAATTGTAACTGAAGGTGAATACAGTGCTCCAAGGATTTGCTAACTGGTGTAATCTAAACAATCTAATGATTAATCACGATAAAACTGTAGCTATGAATATAAGATCTGTGAAGAAGCAATCCTGTAATCCTAACTTGTCCCTTAATGGCCACAACATCGAGCTCTCTCTATGTCTACACATTTTGAAATGCCACCTAAACTGGGAAATCCATATCCACAAGGTTTGAAAAAAGTTAAATATAAGTGCTTTCGTCATAAATAGTATAAAAAAATGTGTAAGTCGTGAAACCTTAATTAGTGTCTACTATGCGTTTATACAGGGTGACTTCGAAGTTGAGTCATTTATTTTAACAGTGAGTAGATCTGATCAAAAGAAATGTTTTTTTCCTTTACCATTTTTCTGGTAAAATTAAAGTAACAAAGTTATAGCCCTTTGGAAGTTTGAGTACCGCCCTGTCTCAATGTGCTCGTGTTTGGCGACAACGGATATAATCCGTCGTATCGGTTCATCGCATCGGAAACAAAAAAGCGAAAGAATTTGGAACGAATTATTTCATTCATTTGTATACAGTAAGTGTCAGTGAATAGTTGTATCTGTTGCGTGGCTCAAACGAAATAAAAAATGGCACATGTTTATGCGGATCGGTTTCCCAATCGAGTGCAACCAACCCCTCGCGCCTTTGTTAATGTAGTACAACGGGCTCGTGAATCAGATGACTTAAGACCTCACAGGGGACCTCACGATCAAATACAGGTCCGCACTGAAATACTTGTCGGGAGGATACTTTATAAAACAAGGTAAACATTTTTTTTTAATTTTTTTTCTATTTTTACACACATATTTTGGTTTATATTCCTTCTACAATCATTATCTGAAAATTAATGACTCAACTTCAAAGTCACCCTGTATATTCGGTCCTGTCATATAATATTGTTGTCTGGGGACAGGCCTCAACTATTGACAGAGTCTTTATCACACAAAAAAGAGTCATTAGAAACATGCTCAGTTTATTGTTCAGGGCGTCCTGTAGGGACTATTTTAATAAATATCAACTTTTGACCGTCTCCTCAATTTATTTGCTAAAGCTACTATCCTATATTCATAAAAGCAAATGCTCTTACCAAAAAAACTCACATTTTCATGTTTATAACACGAGGAATAAGAACCAATTTTGCTTAGGTAAGCATAACTTAACTACTCACGAAAAGTCGCCTACACGAATATACAATAATTTACCAGAATCTCTTAAACAAATAGATAATGTTATGGTCTTCAAAAAGCATCTTAAAAGGGTGCTCTTATCTAACACCTTCTACAGCATAGATGAGTTCCTTGCGTTTTTGAAGAAGCTGAAATAATGCAATTGTCAGGAGGTCCATTAACTTGGCATTCATATGCACTTTTTAAATTTTATGTTTTCAGTGTACCTGTTGTTCTTTTAGTTTGATTTTTATTTCGCCTTTACTTTAAGTATTATATGTGATACTTATGACGGGTACCTCTCTATACTTATATATATATATATAACGATCTTAGAAATTACTCAGGTGTGGCTTTAAGGAATGAAAAAACGGCTTATATAAAATATCAACTAAATAAGAACAGGAATAATCCCAAGCAACTATGAAAAGACTTCGCTAAATGGAATATACATCAAAAATCCACTAATCAGATATCTCAGGGCATTGAAGACGCAGAAGCCATCAACAATCACTTTGCGAACTCGTTGTCAACCATTCAACCTGATGAGTTATTTCTTAACGCTTTATCTGGGCAGAAAAAGTCACTCGTAACTAAAAGTTCGTTCCATCTAGTTACATCTGATGATATTGAAAAGAAACTGAGAGCAGTGAAATCAAATGCTGCTGGTATAGATGGTATTACTACAATCATGCTGATGTGTGCTTGCAAGCCAAATGAAGATAATTCATTGATTTTAGAATTGAATGTAAATCTAGAAATGATTGCAAACTATTCCAAAAATTATTGTTTGAAACTGAATCCCTCAAAAACTAAAGCTTGCTGCATTGGTTCTTGGTTAAATATTTCAAAAATTAAAGAATTGATGAGTACAGACATTGTTTTAGGTGATACAGCTGTTGAAATTGTAGAGGAGACTAAGAATTTAGGCAATTTACTGGACACAAATTTAAGTTTTGAGAACCATGTCATTAATAAACTTCGAGTATGCTATTGTAAATATAAGTCACTTTGGAGATACAGACATGTTTTAACTAGTGATATAAAATTAAGAGTTATCAATGCACTAATTCTCACTCATCTAGACTATGGCGCTACAGTATATTATAATTTTCTCACGGAAGAAACGAAGCACACAATTCAAGTATTCCAAAACTGCTGCATTAGATTCTGTTTCAAAGGTATACATAAACAAGAACATATTACTGGATATTATGTGAGAGAAAATCATTTAAAATTCAAGTATCGTGTACTAATTCAGTACGGAACTCTACTGTATAAAGATTTAAAATATAAATTACCCAGATATCTGTTTATTGCTTTGGAGAAGAGATGTTCACTCCGCCAAGTTTCCTTACGCAACAATGCCTATTTCAATATTCCAGTTCATACAACGTCTAAATTCAAAAAATGTTTTACTTACACGGCACCATCTCTTCTTTTTGAAGCACCTTCCATCCAAAACATCAGAAATGAGATGGAAAAGTGCTGCTACAGCTGCATAGATTTGAATCCACAAATTAAATTTATGGCGCTTGCTACACTATCTTCCATTAACACTCAGACTATATCGTATTATATACTGCGTTCTGCATAATTTTTGTTGTGAATACTAATCATTCTGTTGATGTTAAAAAACGCTCATGAAATTAACTTTTTAGGGGGAGATGAAAAATGGCCCTGCCAATCCTCTTTCCTTTTGGAATGTTGTCGTTTTTATATTTTTTATGTATATACATTCCAATAAAAAATATTATTATTATATAGTGTTCGGAACTAATAAAGGAACTTGAATTTGAATTTCAACCTTTCTCACATATCAGTAAGTGTACACATTTTTACACCTCTCCATATTGTGGTTGAGACGTGTTGCTGACAGGCTGGACAGACCGTCCCATTTATATATGGAGAGATAAAGTAGTAGCCAAGACACTTCCTCAGCTGGGGGAACAGGCGGTATAGTCACACGCACCTTATGGAAACATTCAACTTAGGGACTTATCAAGTACGACAAAGGTTGTTTTGCAAAATTATCAACACATTATTAGCACGCAAATCCTCACTAAGCTAAGCGCCTATGCACTGCTATTGTGCCCGTTTCCTTGCAGCTATACTATACAACTTACAGCTTAGACCTCCAATAATGCGATCTCATCAGAGCTAAACCCTGATAGCTGAAGAGTCATGACGTTTAGGCAACACGTACAGCTACATATTGAGTAAAAAACATTTAGTTCCAAGCTGACATCTTATAGGAAAACTTACTTAACACGTTCACTGCGAACGACGCTGATCCGCGTCCGACCGATGTTTAACGAAAGGCGGCGGGCGCGGATCCGCGCTTCTGGCTGATATAAACTCACAAGACTGTGGTGTTGTCAGTTTGTACCGCACTCGCTTTCTGTTTGGTCACCTACATATTGAACATCTTTTTGGACTATTTTACGCGTAGGATCAAGTTTCGTTTATTTTTACATTGCGCAATGGCGGATGATGTGGAAGCAGGTTGTTCACGTCCAAAGCGAGTGAAAACGTATTGTAACCGTAATAAAGGGCTTACAGAAAAAGAACTGTATGATATTCTTGCCAATTCGGGGAGTGAAATCGAGAATCTAAGTGACTCAGACAATTATGTTCCCAGTTCAGATGGAAGTGAGCAGTCTGATGGAAATATGTCTGAAACGAGTGATGATTTTTCCAGCTCACAGAAAAATCTTTAATAGGGTTTCAAGACATGTTTCGTGTTACTGCACGAAAAAAAAACGAGATAGAAGAAGAAAATGTATATATGAAATAGTTTTCAATTACACAACGCACATCCAATAGGCTTACGACGCGAATCCGCGCTTCGCTTGTGCAGCGCCTAAAATCGTTTAGCCGCTACCGTGCGCGCGGCGCGAGGCAGGTCGCAGCGAACGTGTTAATATACAAAAATCCTATATGATGTCAAAAAAAAACCATTATAATGACACTTTTTAAGATACACAGCTTTGCGATACTGGTGGTAACATATTGTATTTGAACGATCATTTCATATTCACTAGTACCCACTGATTCAAAATATTCACGTATAATATTAATAACAATAATAATAATAAACGTCTTTATTCGCCAAACGTCAACAAAAAATCTTACATTTATATTAAAAATAAAACGAAGGACGTAGTTCACATGTCAGATGTGCACCACTGACGTGACACACATCTGTTCTTCCACTTATCCCCCAATATACAATGAACGATATCATAATAAAAAAGACCTGGCCACAAAGCATTAAGTAGCTCACATGATGTATACACAAAGCTTTGTCTCCAAAATGGCTTTGTTTTCCAAAACACCGATCCTGATCACCCTGTACCCACAATGGAGAGTTTCCATGCAGCATGCAACTCTAGTAATGCGGCGTATGCACATAGCGCTGCATTGGAATTCCGTTCTCCTATTGCTGCTGCGGACTAACAACCCTCCTTCCAGGACGTTGGCTGGTTGAGTAACGTGATCCGTTCCGAACCGCAAACAATGACTCAGTGGTAAGTAAACGATTGACGAACAGCGATTCTGACGTTCTGTGGCTTACACAGGGATTTATCGACTGCCTACACTACATATCGGGGAGAGAAGCAAGCGTTTGTGATGGGGATGCTGAATGCACTTGCATGAATACAGGATTACTTGATGTGTTTACTGGCTCTGAATTCACCTTAACTGACGAGTGTATTAATTTGTGATTAGCTGGGAAGCCAGCTGTTCATTTCAACCGAGCTCCCTGACAGCATCCTGAACGGTCCCATTATTTTATAAAACCTGAAACATAGTCTGTACTATCCCTAACACAAGTAAGAACGATCAGCGACTGTGATATTTGGTGATTACTTTGGCAGGAAGCAGGTAGCAAAAGTGTGTAAAATAGTACCTCAAATTCATAAGTGTAAAGAAGGGTTTTTTGATATTTTCTTCAGAATAATATTAGACATGACGTCATCCATTGCCAGACCCTTACTGTACAGTTTTATCCCTCTGCCAGACACCTCTAAATTTTAATAAATTAGATTTAACGCTGAGATTTGTACGAGTTACTTGGGGGACTGAAAGGACTAGTCATACAGCTATTTAAGCGGATGCGAGTGAACTAGTGAGATTGGTCTATTGCGATCTTTTAGTACGCATCTTTCATTCAGTATTATACAGGGTGTAAACGTTACGATAGTCATTATTTAAATGGGTGGTAGATGGAGTTAAAAGAAGCAAAAAGTTTCATATAACATGGGGGTCAAAACGGAATTTTTTTAGAGAAAAATGACTTTAAAGTAAAATAAAATCTGACAACGCCGCAATGCCAGACACAAGTAAATAAAGATGGAGTTTGTTATTTTTCGCTCTTAGGTATTATTTCATTATTTGATAATGTACTCGTAAAATGCAAACAATTAAAAAAAACGCACTTACCACTAACTGTCTCACCACTTCACCTGGTGTGTGAAAGTTTATTGAACGTTTTAAAAAAATCCACTTATAAACAGGGAACACAATTTTGATACATACATTGTTTTTCTTTTTGAAACCCGCACTGCACCTTTTTTGTATTTAAAGACGGTGTTCAAAATCAAAAGAAAGATTGATATTCAAATCAAGTTGGGTACTTTATTTTGAAGGTTTATTTATACCATTTATGTATGAAAAATAATATCGCTCAAATGTTCACCATGACTGGATTTACAGACGTCCACGCGATGGTCGAAATTTTCAAAGACATTTTGCAACATGGTCGGTTCTATGGCATTTATCTCGGCAATGATGTTGTTTTTGAGTTCTTGGAGGGTGGCTGGTTTGTTGAAGTAGACTTTGCTTTTCAAATATCCCCATATAAAGAAGTCCAAGGGAGTCTAATCGCACGATCTTGGTGGCTATGGCACATTTCCTCTGCGCGAAATCGCGCGGTCACCGAAGAAGGACTGCAATCGATGGATATTGACGTTGGTTGTGTGGCATGTTGCACCGTCTTGTTGGGAATAAACATCGTCCATATCCATTCCTTCAAGTTGCGGCAAAAAATAGTCCTCTATTATCACGAGATATCGCTCAGAATTGACGGTAACGGCGTCCCCGGCCGCATTTTCGAAAAAGTAAGGTCCGATGATGCCTTTTCACCACAATGCACACCACACAGTCACTTTTTGAGGATGCATCGGCTTCTCTTGATACTCACGGGGATTTTCGTTCGCCCAGATGCGGCAGTTTTGCTTGTTTACCGTCCCATTCAAAATGAAATGCGCTTCGTCGCTGAACATGATTTTTGATGAAAAATTGGCATCAATTTGGCGGTGTTCAAGGAGCCAATCTGAGAACGTTCGGCGCGAAAAATGGTCGGCCCGAGGCAGCTTTTGCGTCAATTGGATCTTGTAGGCGTGTACATTCAAATCCTTGTGGAGAATGCGGAGCAAACTGGTTCTCGAAATGCCCAATTCTTGGGATCGACGCGTTGTTGATTGTTTCGGATCGTCTCTCACACTCTCCTTCACAACAGCAATATTTTCCGGTGTGCGAACGCTCCTTGGCCGGCCAGATTTGCCACAGAACCTGTTGCCTCGAATTTACGCACCAGACGACCGATGGTTGTTTCGTTTGGGCGGTTGTTGCGACCGAAATGTTCATGGAGCGCGCGAAACGTGTTTTTTATTTTTGCCCCAACATTGTAGTGCTCTTGAATAACTTTAATGCGGTCTTCAATCGAATACGACTCCATAGCGATCAATGGTAAACATTCAACTAACAAAATGACATGTCGGTGACAGAAAACAAAGATGGCGTCTATGTCAAATTGACGTTTACTTTCCTGCGTCCCTATTGGACACATATATACATTCGTCCGTCGCTAGAATGTTTTTAGAAAAATCCGGATTTTCAATGTTTTTGTGCAAAAACCACTGTCAGAATGTTAGTCTGCGAGGATAGTCTTCTGGTAAAAAGGCCTGCACTCGTTGTACATGGTAGGGATAAAGCAAATTTTCCCGTAGGATTCTATGGACTATGGTATGCGATAGTCCTAGGCGGCGGTCTAATTCCCGAGTGCTGATATCTGCATTGGTTTCCACGATATATAAAATTTGTTCCTCCTGCTCTATAGTCACCTGTCCTTCACGAGTGCGAATATTACTGGGCTGAACACTTCCTGCATCTCGAAGTCTTTGGTACATTTGCACAAATGTCCTTCTGTCTGGGGGTATCCGTTGGCGAAATCTGTCGCGATATTTGTGACTTTTGCAAGATTTGAATTCTGACGAGCTTCACCGAAAACTAACAACATGTCGGCGAACTCTTGATTCGAGAACATTGTAAATCAATACGACGACGTACGCGAACAAAAACAAAACAACACACTGTTACCGTTTGCGATCGATTGCCGATTCGATAAGGGTGATGATGACCGCTGTTGTCATGTGTATTTTAAATATTTAATTTAATGAAACTTACTTACTTACTGAGTACAAATTTTGGCTTAACTAAGAAAATATTAATGCCATTTATTTGTTGATTGCCCAATTTATAAACGTTTCAGATTAGATTATAAAAATGAGTAGGATTGTGGTGATTGTGGTCGATATAAAGCACTTAAAGTTGTAAACTATAAAGCCATTTAGACAAAAATCCATTGACTTTTGGACCATGGGTCATATGAACTTTTTGACTTGTTTTGGCCCCTATATTACCCATTTCAATAATGACCACCATAACAACTACACCCTGCATGTTAGTGTTTTCTATATTTATCGAAAAATATCGTTGCATAGAATTATTTATGACTAAAGACTGCACCGAATAATGATAATACCATTCATGTAAAGAAAACGAATCGACTGATTTTAAAAGATCAACCGTCAAAATAAAGGACTTCGAACGACCTTTCAAACAAGCTATTACTCGATACCCCTTGTCATTTAAAATTTTCAAGGGAATAACCCTGGGGGCCGAGGGTGAAAGGGGGTGAAGTAGTTTTTGGTTAAAAAGTTGTCCCGCTTGACGAATCTTTTGACGTATCTTTTTTCTTTTAATTAGTGCTTTTCGATAAATCCGTGGTGTCGTAGCTATATTATAGTATTGCATATTTTACGGAATGCAACCATTATTCCAGCGCATTGCCGCATTGGCCAACTAAATTTAACCGTATAACGATTTGGTCTTCCACGATTAAGCATATCGTAAAATCGTCAACGATTAACGATTTGGTCATCCAACATCGACCATATTGTAAAAATAGGTATGCATAGAACTATAAAATCGGCAAAGTGTTGGAGTACCTTTTTATCTAAAGTATTTAATCTCACTTTCTTCCGCATTTAGCAACAAATTTTTAGAGTTCTCACTTCGAAAAACTACTCTGTTATGAACAGCCGACATCGTGACACGTGAACAAAGCGCTTCCAGCGCCCCTATCGGTAACTACTGTAATTATTTCATGATTTGATCAAATAGGCTACTACTATTCGTCATTATTCGTCAGAGCGGTCCAGTGGACCTTTGCTCTTAGTTAAAAGTCTCGGCGGTCTGTTAGTCTGTCAGGTCTGGCTACCCAGATACCAAACAGGTTTAAGGGGAAAAGGGAAAGAAGGAAAGAATGGAAGGAAGAAATAGAGCAAAGAAAAGAAGTAAATCATTTGGAATAGCTTAAGCATTATTGCTTTGACTACTTGAATTATTTTGTAACTCCAAAAAAATAATTTTGATCGGTTTTGTATACTGAAATAATTTTGGCTGGTCTGAATTTACAATTTAATTTTGATCACAGTGCGAGGCGCGGCCTGGTATGTTTGCGAACTTGCTCGACTGTGTAGTCTACTGAATCACGCAATCCCTTAAATATAGGATATCAAGATCTCTGTGAATAGTCTCATTTGACACGTAACAAGTGGCGTTAGTAATTGTGCGTAGGGTTCTGTTTTTCAAGACT